TTCGGCCACGAAGTGGGTTTCTCAGACCCCAGTGTCCTGATATGGCTAAAATGGCATATAGAATGCAACATGGACTTATACTAACATGAGAGAGCCTCAGCTACACTCACATAAGAGGCCGATGGATGAAAATGAAGTGCCTCGAAATGCGTGCACACGGGCATGCAAACCGAGGCAATGGCATATGCAATGCAATATGGCTAAAATGGCATGTAGAATGCAAGATGGACTTATACTAACATGAGAGAGCCTCAGCTACACTCACATAAGAGGCCGATGGATGAAAATGAAGTGCCTCGAAATGCGTGCACACGGGCATGCAAACCGAGGCAATGGCATATGCAATGCAATATGGCTAAAATGGCATGTAGAATGCAAGATGGACTTATACTAACATGAGAGAGCCTCAGCTACACTCACATAAGAGGCCGATGGATGAAAATGAAGTGCCTCGAAATGCGTGCACACGGGCATGCAAACCGAGGCAATGGCATATGCAATGCAATATGGCTAAAATGGCATGTAGAATGCAAGATGGACTTATACTAACATGAGAGAGCCTCAGCTACACTCACATAAGAGGCCGATGGATGAAAATGAAGTGCCTCGAAATGCGTGCACACGGGCATGCAAACCGAGGCAATGGCATATGCAATGCAATATGGCTAAAATGGCATGTAGAATGCAAGATGGACTTATACTAACATGAGAGAGCCTCAGCTACACTCACATAAGAGGCCGATGGATGAAAATGAAGTGCCTCGAAATGCGTGCACACGGGCATGCAAACCGAGGCAATGGCATATGCAATGCAATATGGCTAAAATGGCATGTAGAATGCAAGATGGACTTATACTAACATGAGAGAGCCTCAGCTACACTCACATAAGAGGCCGATGGATGAAAATGAAGTGCCTCGAAATGCGTGCACACGGGCATGCAAACCGAGGCAATGGCATATGCAATGCAATATGGCTAAAATGGCATGTAGAATGCAAGATGGACTTATACTAACATGAGAGAGCCTCAGCTACACTCACATAAGAGGCCGATGGATGAAAATGAAGTGCCTCGAAATGCGTGCACACGGGCACGCAAACCGAGGCAATGGCATACGCAATGCAATAGCATGGAAAATGATATGCAAACATGCTAATGGAATTTCAGCACTTAAATGTGGGGGAAAACAGCCCCGAAATAAGACGAGAGTACACCCGATGCATGGAATAGTCCCGAAACATGAATTTTGGCACCCGAAATGGCCTATAGCTATACCAAACATGCACAATATGGACATGCAATGAATAGACAGAAGCAAGGCAGCCCCAAAATAAGCACTTTTACAGTTAAAAGCATGGCCAAAAAGCAAACAGAAACATGGCAAAACTAGCATGCGAGAAATGGCCCTAAATGTGAGATTAAGAAGCAACTCACAGATTCTGTCCTCAAACAGATTAGGGCCCTTCAACAAAGTTGAAGAGGGGCCCAAAACATGATCTTTTACAGTTCTGAAAATAGCCCAAAAACAAACATAGGTATGGCTAAGCTTTCATGCAAGAAATGAGCCAAAAGATGGCCAAAGAAGGAAGTGGTAGATGCAAAGCCCAAACAGAAAAAGACTCTTCTACAATACTGATGAGGGACCACAAATAAGGCATTTTACAGTTGAGGGTCGGACCCAAAACAGTATGCAAATATGTCCAAAATGCTATGCAAAATGAGGTCCAAAAGAGAGATATAACATGAAGTGTATAAAAGATGCCTCAAATCATGAAAGGCCCTTAATAAAACATGAAGAATGGGCCAAAATAAGACCATTTCTAGCTCTGTAAAATGACCAAAAACAGAAGCACACTAGGCTAATAAATCATGCAAAAATGGGGATTAAAAGAGAGATACAACACAAAGTATAGGAAGGGTGCCTCCAACAGTGAAGGACCCTCAATGAAACATGAAGAGATGGCCAAAATAAGACCTTTTCTAGATCTAAAAATCGTCCAAAAATGGAAGCATAATAGGCTGCCAAGTCATGCAAAAATGGGGACCAAAGATGGATATAAAGACAAGTGGTACATGGAGGTCCCAAACAGTGATGAGCCCTTCTTCAATGTTGAAGAGGGGCTCAAAATAAGCCTACTTACAGATTGCATCATGCTCCAAAACAGATCACACATAGGCTAAAAATATCATGCAAGAAAATGGCATTCAAGGAGGGTATTGAAGCAAGTGCAAGATATGGACCTCAAATGACAAAAGTCCCTTAATGAAACATGAAATAGAGCTCAAAATAACACTACTTTCAGTTATGGCCGGAGCTCAAAACAGCAAGAATGTATGGCTAAGAAATGTTGCAAAAAATAAGCTCAAAAAAGGGGGAAAATGGTACTCACCCTTGTAGACTAACCTTTAGCAACTTCTTGGACCAAATTTGCTGCCTCCTAGCCTCTGAGAAGACCTCCAAGCTGCTGGAAATGGAAGTGGTGGTGTGAGGCTTGGTAGTGTAGTGTAAAATGGTGTAGGGTTTGAAGGTTTTTTGAAGGAAATGAGAGAGATGGAGGGATATAATGCAAGAGGCTCTTAGGGAAATTTTTCAACCCTAAACCAGCAGATGGAGCCTCTGTTAAATAGGCAAGAATGGGGGGAAAAAATGGGGGAAAAAGTGGGGGAAAAATGGATCAAGTTTCCCTCCAAAAAATGCCAAACCCTCGGACATGGGTGAAGTGTAAAAACAAATACATGGCTGGAATGCACTCACAGGGGCAAAAATGGCCGGCCAGTTTAAAAGGGGAAAAAAAGTCATCCACCAGGTAAGTGGCCGGCGGGCCAGAAAAAGTGGCCGGCCGGCTAGGTCAAAGGGGAAAAAGTGGCCGGCCACCCCCTAAGATGAAGCCCCAGAAGTTAGCTTTCCAATGGCGCAAACCTTGCATTAAAATTCCTCCTCTAGAAAAAGTTATGCCCTTTTCCGTGAAGCCGCGCAGACTCGGTCCAAGCGGACTTCAACCAACCACATCTCTCCCCCCCCAGGCTAACTACCATCAGATAACATTTTGATAGACATAAAAATAAAGGAATTAAGAAATACATCTTTGCTTATTGCTTCTAATTTTGATTTGACATTTTGTGCAATCTTTCCCACTTCATCAACATCTTTCTCCATTCGCTTTTTGATTGCTGAAAATGAGAAATCAGATCAGATTGTTGCAGACGAAGAACTACAGCAAATATGAGCAGTTAGCTAACTAAACCTAAAATTTTGTCAACCAGTTGCTGAAAAGGATAAAAAATTTTCAACCAGTTGCCGACTAGGCCAATATCACTACATAACTAGCTAAGATAATCTAAACTGTATTACTCAGCATGCCACTGATGCACAGAGAATGTGGCAATGAGATACAAGTGCGTAATAATCAGCTTGCAACTAAAACATTTCAGCATAAGACTGAAAGAAATAAAACAAGGATTTGACCTTTCATGGATGAAGCTTTTGTAACGGACTTTGACTCCTCATTAGCATCCTGTAGGAAAGGGCTCACATTTTGAGTTTCTAAAGTTAAATTAAAGTATGATTTCCAGAAAGAGAAAAACTAATATTGCATCATTTGGTTCATGCAAAAGCACGAATAAGCATATAACCCATGCTTAGAGAACTTAGGCCATGTTTGTTTGGGTAGACATGAGCTTGGGATTGGACTAATAGTCTAATAAAATTATTAATTCGATATTTGGTTAAACAATTGAAGTACGGACTAATTATTTTAAACTTGACTATAACATTTCAGCATAAGACTGAAAGAAATAAAACAAGGATTTGACCTTTCATGGATGAAGCTTTTGTAACGGACTTTGACTCCTCATTAGCATCCTGTAGGAAAGGGCTCACATTTTGAGTTTCTAAAGTTAAATTAAAGTATGATTTCCAGAAAGAGAAAAACTAATATTGCATCATTTGGTTCATGCAAAAGCATGAATAAGCATATAACCCATGCTTAGAGAACTTAATTTTCTTAAAATCCAGTTATACACAAAATTAGGTACTTGTACTACAGCTGCTACGGTATGAATGATAACAAATGCTGAAATCAAGATCAGTAAGGTTTAAGAGAATTGAAGGTCTTCTTTTTGTTTGTTAAGAAGAGAGATAATGAAGATCTTATTCTTGATTCATGCAACACTACAACAAAAATAAGACAAAACACCAGTAAAGTAAGGAAGAGTTTCACTGACGTATGAACCAGAAAGCTACAATAAATAGCATATCTACAGGTCTCCTAGTCCCTGCAGGATAACAATAGCTCTTGCTTCTGCTTGCTTCTAGTTTTTCTTCTTCTTTTTTTTTTCATATTGCTTTCGTACCCAAAATAATAATAATAATAATAATAATAAAAACTCATATCCCACTTTATAATCAATTTTTGAGATAAAAAAAAATGAGATACAAAAAAATTGAAGTAATAATTCTATGAATAAAGCATCAAGGTTGAGCATCTTACATGCATGTAATTAGACTCACAAGAGTTGTTTTCAATGTTTCAATTTTTTCTCATAATTTATACTTTTGATCCAAGTAAGGATTGGGTTGCACAAAATGACACATTAAAAGCTTTTAGGTACTATTACTTTATAATAATAATAAACTGAATCCTATATGGTTCTTTAGTTCTTAGAAATTATACATCCTAGAAAGTTTCACAAAACCTAGAAATGAAGTCCCGTGTATTCAAATGGATTCGTAATAGCATGGTGGGGGGAAAAAATATCACTTTTGCAATTGCTACTCTCTTTTACACTCTTAAACCCTTGTTTTTCTTCATTATCAATTTCCTTCCTTTATCACTTGCCTTCAGTGGCCATCATATATGATATTACAGTTTCCTCTTAGAGCTGTCTGCTATCAATTTTGGTATCAGAGTCAAGTTGCAAGGGTATTGATTGGCCAACTGCAGTTGCAAACAGTTAAGTTTTGCAACAATTAGCAAAATTTCAGAAAAAGAATAAAGCCTACACCTACAAGAAGAAGAACAAATCCTTCCAATATATCACTGATTCTGTAGATTTGGTGGAAAGAAAGAAGCAAGTCTTTCAGGGTTCCATGGATAGCCATCAAGGTAAGTTAAACAACAAAGAAAGTTAACTTTTCATCTATTGCAAGCTAACCTTCTTCCTCTACTATCTACAACAACAAGTATGGAAGTTTTGATGATTCTGCTATACTTGACAGGATGGAGAGAAATAAAACAGAAGACATGCACCGCTACTTGACAAGATTATTTGACTTGCTTGAAAATCCATGAAAATTTTGATCTGGGATGACACAAGTACATGAGAAGGATGAGGTCCGTAACTCAAAGGGATATGATGAACACTCTCTTACTTGAAAAATCCATCCCTCTGAAAGTAGGGAGAGAGATATGAGTCGAGCTACTCAACATATGCTCACATTTGCAGGTGATGAAGAGTTGAAACTAAAGTCTTGTGGTTCGACAAACTGCAAACAATATATGCTTATAAGGTAAACAGACACAGAAGGTTATCCACTATTTGAGTGCACTAAGCATAAGTTGAGGCTGCCTTCCTTTTCCTGTTTTTAACATTGAGCGTCAGGTTACTGAAGGGGACAGCTGAAGCAGGGAACCTTATGCTGGTCCCTTTTCCAGTTCAATGCTTGTTCTTATGAAGCATGACAACCTTATACCAGGACTGAAATTTAATTCTAACAGGACCTATCAAGAGATAAAGCATGAAATAACTAAAGAACATATTTCTAATGTCTTCTCCTTCAACAAAGTAATAATTAATAGCTAAGGCAATGCATAATATTGAAGGCACAGAGACTGATCAAGACATAAATGAAAACTAATTGCTTGCTTCCTTAGAACCACAGCACATATGCTCCATTAACTCACGAAAAACCAATTCAATGAGATATCACAAATACCACAACCCATCGCTAAAGAAAAATACTTAATGTCAGGATGCAACATTAAAAGGAGAACTGTCCAGTTCATACCTTAAGTTTTGTAAGCAACCCAGACAGCTTGTCTACTTGTTTCTCAACATCTTGTATCTGCAACACAGTCAAAATGAAACAAAACAATAAGAAGTAATCAGGAAGCAAAAGATTAATTGACAAAAAAACTATAGTTCTTTTGTGATTCCTGTCCCTTCAAGTTTCATCCTAACCCTTTATCCACAACATACACACAAAGTCCAACATTGCAAAATGGGATGGTGCTTCCTATTCATAACAAGGATTTTACAGGGTTTTGTTAATGAGTGTCCTAAGAGCATCTCCAACGGTGTACCAAATTTTTCACCAAATCTGAGTGAAAAATGAGTCATTTCCTTAATTTGATACTTCGCGCTCCAACAGTTCAACATCAAATCCGTTTCATCAAATTTGCACTGGGCAACCGGTTGGTTGACCGGCCGGTCGACCGGCCGGTCAACCAACCGGTTGCCCAGTGCAAATTTGATGAAACGGATTTGATGTTGAACCATTGGAGCGCGAAGTATCAAATTAAGAAAATGACCCATTTTTTACTCAGATTTGGTGAAACATTTGGTACACCGTTGGAGATGCTCTAAGGCAGTTGATAAATTATTAATCGTTAAATAATGTTAAAACTATCTAAACTGTCACATCATATTCAATATATATCATATACACAAAAAAATACAATAAAAAACCATATCATTTCATTTTCTCACTCAAAAATGACAAAAATTACCGCAAAGGTGGATCAATCTTACAAACCAATTGTAATTAGCACCTGACTTATTGGCACAAAGCAAAGCAAAATAAACATGCCATCAAGTCCGGCTACTTAACTAAAAGTTTTGGATGAACTTCCTTATTGTATACTGATAATCCAACCTTAAAAGCTAAGTATAACATCTTCAATATATATAGTAAAATAGCAGTGCTCAACAAAATCAATAAGGAGCCATTGTTGGGGGAGCTGTCATAAACTTCACAGGGTGGTCACCTTCTGATTCAGGTCCAGGTGCCACGTGTCCAGAACTTTTGATCTCAGCCATTCCTCTGCGTGCATTTGCCCCTTGTGCTTCACAAAATTTGGGAAGAAATACACCTGCCAATTTTTAAATAAATAAAAAGAAAATCAAGGGGAATTGACCCATAAATCCTAAAAGGTGAGATTGTAATATAATCAGTCCCATATTTAATTTTATACACCCAAAGGTCCCATTATTTGGGGGTGGACAGTTTTGCCCATGAACTTACTGTTTTTGGTTTGGTCATATTATGTTTGAATGATGTGGGTGTATGTAACGTTTGGAAAAAGCTTATTATAGTTCTTTTTGGGTTTAGTAGTGTATGTAGGGGAATCCACGTTGTTTATGACCCACACGTTGGTGGCCCACATCATTTTTTTGAAGCCCACATTTGAACACAACCTATCATTTTGCAAAAACCACACTTTGGTGGACCACATCAAGTTGATGAAACAGAAGTTGATGTCACATCACCACACTTTGGTAGACCACATCAACTGCTTTGGTACGTTAGATTGGTATACCCACGTCACCCCACTGAAACCCAATTTCCAGCCCAAATGTTTTTTTGACGGTATTTCCGTCGGGTCAACACACTCCATGTCCGAAGCTGATGATACGGATACGTAGTCCACACCGTTTGATTAAGCTTGTGATGTGGTAGAAGTTTCGGAAAACCATCAGTCGCCGACGTTGCTCTGAAATTGTCCACCTTCCATTCTATGGGCAGGAATCAACCCCCATGGTCGTCGTGATTGGTGTCCTGAGGCCAAACCAGTTGCGACAACCATGTAATTTAGGAAAATTGTTTGGAGAATCCCTTCTTTTTGGGTTGGGGGTGTTTGTCGGTGGACAACATCGAGTTGGGACTGATAGATGAGGCAATCTTGTTGGCAAATTTGTAAAGAGTGTTGTGCTGGTGTGGATCGCAATGTGAACATGAATGCCGTCGGAAACAGTTCTACCCAACCACACAGAAAAGGGTACATTAGTCACAAAAACCATTCCATAATTACATAATGGGATCTTTCGAATCACATTACCAAAAAAATAGGACTTGGACGTGTATTAATTTTAAAAAAGAACCTGGTAGATTACAACTCTCCAAAATGGGAGTTTCCAATAATTTCCCCTAAAAAATTATGAGTTTGCAATTTTTTTTACCAATTTAATTTTTTGTTTCTTAAAAAATTTTTTTGAAAACCAAACCAAATAGAGCTTTATAACTAAGAAAGTTTCAACATTATTCATTAAAATAAAAAGGCCATTACATTTCAAACAATATACAAGTTAACCAATATAAAATAAGTTGTATGACGATTTTGCCCTTAAAATGAACCGTTTGTAAAGGAAATATCTTTGATTATTCTTATCTAGAATAAGATTTTAAATTCAAGGTTATATGTATCGTAATTGAAAAGTCAGGTATTAAAGTGACACAAGCCCCAAACTATATGGACTATTAGTGTAATTTGCCCTTCATTTTTGCGTAAATCTTATAACATAAGATAAATTATAATTTTGATGCTAGACAAATTTTTAGACATTACAATACATGAAAAAATTAATATATTGACAAATGTAATTTACCACTATCCTTTGATAAATTAAATTTATGAAACTCATAAGACGAAATATATTTATATTTTATCATAAATATAATTTTTGTGATTTATTTTTTAATTTTTACCACTAACATCATGACATATATTTGTTATTAAGAACTTAGAGTACATAATTAATGACATATGAATAAAAAAAATTCTCTAGATTGGAGTGCTATATGACTTATATTACAGAAGCATGATGGGCATGGCAGTTGACCCATGCGATGGGCTTGGTTCGAAGTAAGGTCCAACGAAAAAGTTTAAGATTATTGCGGGCTAATAATGATGTTTTACACTGGTTCAAGTTGCTCTTTTTCTCTCTCTTTCTCCCTCTCCTAGATGCTAGTTGTACAACTTTTTCACGATGTTGGTGCCTTTTCTATTGGAACTTAGAGGAGATCAGGATACATCGAGTTCAGATTTAAGTTGGCAATATGTCTGAGGAGAATTTTTTTGACTTTGGTGGATGAATGTAGGCAGCAGCGCCTTCCCTTGCTTGCATATACATAGGCATTTCATGGGTTTCTAATCCATACTTGTTTTGCTATTTCTCTTACTTTTATGTGAATTTTGAGTCCATTTCTTGATGGGTTTTGTATTTTCTGCCATTTTAATGAGAATTTGAGTTTAAATTCCCTTCATTTTCTGTGGAGATGTTAATTTGTTTTTCATATATTAATTGAAGTGTGGTAACTGTTATCTTAAACTTACGGATTAAAAATGCAAAAACACGCAAGGCAAATAGAATTCTTGTCAAAAGGATTCCTCCTGTATGTAAAAATCACAAGATGACAAATTAAAAATCATTTTTTGTCCTGCCATTGTTAGAATTTAGAAGTATTTACCCTAGTGGTGGACAAACATCCGGTCAGGTTCAGACTCAGTTGGATTTAAGTTAAGAAATATATAGAAAACTCTTGTGCCCAAGTCCAACCTAGTCTGACTTCGGGCCTAGAAGTCTTAGCCCTAAACTATTACAATCCCGAGCCCACCAACAAGCCCATATATTAAATAAAAACTAATATTATAAAACTTATAATTAATAATTTTATATTCACAAAAAACTAATATTATAAAACTCAGAATTAATAATTTTATATCCACAAAAACTAAATATCAAGCCATATCCTAGGTATAAATTTAGATAAATAAATTTTCTACAAGTACATACATATTTATTGGTAATATTATGGTAAAAAAGTGTGTATTATAAATAAGTTATAACAACTCAATTCTATGAGAGTTATAATTATAAGAAAAAAAAAAAAAATATAACCAAACACCACATAAAATATAATCAAAGAGTTTTTGGACTATAACTAAAATAATAACGTAACTAATATTATAATGAATCATAATTAACATCACAATATATATAACTAAGTTATATAATTAAATCATAACTAATACCATAATAGATCATAATCAAATATTATAAATATTGTAATTACGGGGCATATGATATGTAACATTTCTCGTAATATATGTTAACAATTGGGTCAAATCAGGCCACAAGAAACATTCCTATTCACAACCCATTTAATAAGCAGGCTTCAAAAGTCATCCTAACCCAACTTTGTGAGCTTCAATATCAATCTTTAGTCTTTAAAAAATAAGCTTGACAGCCCATCAGGTCGTGCCCAACCCTAATCCACCTTCAAATCAATTGACAAAATAACCTTTTCCAGTTAAAAAGGGGAGTAATTTACCTATGACTTCGAGCTCGTAACTCCAATTACTATCTATAAAAAAAAATTAAACAAAAATCAGCCGAAATGCATAAAAATTACAAATAAATTAAACAAAAATCCAGAAACAAAAAAGGAACTCACATTGACAATACTGAGGTTTCTTCCCTTGAACTTTGAAGACACACTGCCTTAAAACTAACCATGATGAAATATTCAATGTTAATTATCAAAGTGATCAAAAGCGTCTTGATAGGAATGAGAAAAGTAACCGAACGAGATCCAACGACTTGAACATTGAAGTCGGAAACTTTTGGAGTAAAATTCTCATCAAGAAGAATGTTGTGAGGTTTGATATCAAAATGCAAAATTTGCATGTCACAACCCCGATGTAAATATTCAATCCCGCGAGCCACTCCTAGAGAAATCTCGTACACTTGCTTACAACTCAATGGTATATATCCTTCTTGAGAAAATATATACTTTTCCAGAGACCCATTTGGCATGAAGTCATATATAAGAGCTCTCTTAGATCTCTCTGCACAATATCCAATTAGCTGAACCACATTAACATGATGAATCCTTCCTATGGTAGCAACTTCATTGATAAATTCTTGTCCATTGGCTTTGGGCTTGCCCAATACTTTTATTGTTACAAGATGACCACTTCTAAGCTTTCCTTTGTAGACAGAACCATAGCCTCCTTCTCCCAACTTGTCCTTGAAACCTTTGGCCATCTTTTTAATGTCTAAGTAAGAGTAGCTAATTGGCATGAGGTGGTTTTGACTTCACATATAGCCGTCAATGTTATCAAACATCGATAAATGCCTTCTCTTAAACTTACGAATTAAAAATGCAAACGCACATAAGGCAAATAGAATTCTTGTCAAAAAGATTCCTTCTGTATATAAAAATCACAAGATGACAAATTAAAAATCTTTTTTTTGTCTTGCCATTGTTAGAATATGGAAGTATTTACCTTAGTGGTGGACAAATATTGGGTCAGGTTCAAACTCAGTCGAGTTTAAGTTAAGAAATGTATAGAAAACTCTTGTGCCCAAGTCCAACCTATTCTGACTTTGGACCTAGAAGTCTCATCCAAAATCCAACTCTAAAATAGTATTACAATCCCAAGCCCACCAAACAAGCCCATAGATTAAATAAAAACTAATATTATAAAACTCAGAATTAGTAATTTTATATCCACAAAAACTAAATATCAAGCCATATATATCCTAGGTATAAATTTAGATAAATAAATTTTCTATAAGTATTTACATATTAATAGGTAATATTATGACAAAAAGGTGTGTACTATATGTTAGACTTATTTATTTTGATGATTTATTTAATTATGTTTTTTATTTTGATGATTTATTTAATTATGTTTTAATTTATTTGAAAGAGAAAAATAGAATTCAAAATTTATTTTGATAATTTATTTAATTATATTTTAATCAAAATTTATTTTGATGATTTATTTGAAAGAGAAAAATAAAATCAAAATTTATATTGTCCCATTATTTCTCACCTAAACCTTTATCCTAAATGTTGTTAGAATGTATTTAATATTTGATTAAATCAGGAGTTTAAATAGTCCAAAACAAAGGTTCAAACAGCCTAGCACAACAGCAGGCCAAAAGGTTCAAAAGGTTCAAGTGGAAGATATTCAAATTAGTAATGATGGAAGTACAACGGCTATGAACGGCTATAAAGGTTCAAAAGGCCAAAAGGTTTAAAAGGTTCAAGTGGAAGATATTTAAATTTATAAAGATGGAGTGGAAGATATTCAAATTGGTAATGATGAAAGTACAATGGCTATAAATGGCTATAAATTCAAATGACTACAACGGTTATAAACGACTATAAATTCAAATAAATATAACGGCTATAAACGGCTATAATTTTCATTATATATACCAAAGCTTCTAATGTAAACAAGTGACAAAAAAATCAGAAAATATTCTTTGATCTATAATCACTCGCATCTATTCTCTGAAATTATATACTGAGCCTTATGGCATTAAGCTCATCTTTCCTGTGTGAGATTTACAAAAAAATCAAAATTTCATTTTATATATCTATCTTTGAGAGATATTATTGTATGCTTTATTTGAAAGCAAAAATACCATTTCATCTTGTAAAAGTGTTGCAAACATTGTGTTCTTGAAATCTGGAGAGTAATTGTGAATCACTTAGATTTGCAAGGGTTTGGGCTTGTGAAGTCTATGTAAAATCCGTGGAGGATTGCTTCATTTGTAAAGAGGTTACTAGCACCCCTGTGAAGCTAGAAGATAGTGAAAAATCTCAAGTGAAGCTTGAGGAGTGGATGTAGGCTTGGTTGAAGCCGAACCACTATAAATCTATTTGCCTCATCTTCCCTAATCTCTTTACTTTCCTACTACTGTTATAGCTATCTAATATTCATGTGTTAATCATTTGATTTACCCTATATATTAGTTATATATTCATTGTTATTTTGCTTGATCATTTATTGCTAAGTTCATCATTGTGCTTGTTAATAATTTGTTGTACTAGTAGTTAATTTTATTGGGGCATTATTAATTTTAATTTGTAGAAACCTAATTCACCCCCCTCTTAGGTTGTTTTTTGGATAACAATTGGTATCAGAGCCTGAGGCTCTTGCTTAGATTTAACAATCTTGAATTTTTGATCTATAGCAACCATGTATTCTACTTACTCTGCTGTAGGACAAGCTAGCAATAGGCCATCTCTCTTTGATGGTAGTAATTACATTCATTGGAAAGAAAAAATGGCTTTGTATCTTCAAGCTTCCAATTATGCTTTGTGGTTCATTATCGCTAAAGGTCCTAAAATCCCTACCGAGGTAGTAGACCATATCAATGTGCCTAAACTTGAGGATGAATTTGATGAGCGTGATTATAAACTCCTTCAAGATAATGCTAAAGCCAAGCTTATTATTGTGTGTGGACTAGATGCAAATGAGTACAATAGAATTTCTGGGTGTATTACTGCTAAAGAGATTTGGGATAAACTTGAAATCACCTATGAAAGAACTAGCCAAATAAAAGAGTCTCGGATTGACATGCTTATTCATGATTATAAACTCTTTACTATGGAATCATTTGAATCCATTTCTGAGATGTTTTATAAATTTACCAATATTATTAATGCTCTAAAAACTCTTGGTAAATCTTATACTAATGATGAGTTTGTAACAAAAATACTTAAGTCTTTGCCAAATGAATAGGAAGCTAAGGCTACAGCTATCCAAGAAGCAAAAGACCTGACAAAATTAGGCATTGAAGAACTTCTAGGCTCACTCATGGCTCATGAACTTTCAATGATGGATGGTAGCAAAAAGGAAGCCATTTGGGGAGAAAATGATGGAGTAGCCAACATGTGTCTCATGGCCCTTGGAGAAGAAGAATCCACTCAAGATGAGGTAATTTCTAATTATGTAGAACTTGAAAGTACTTTCAATGAATTACATGACATATTTAGAAACGTCTATGTTAAGAATTCTAAATTAAAGAAATTAGTTACTTCTCTTTCAAATGATATGGGTGTTTTAAAAATGGAAAATGATATTTTGAAAAATGACTTTACGTCTATTGCCAATGAGAAAAACATTTTGAAAAACAATGTTGAGGATTTAAACAAAACTCTTGAAAATTTTGTAAAAGGAAAAGCAAATCTCAACAAGCTTCTTGGAAATAAAATATGTGTTTTTGACAAAGTAGATATTGGTTTTGATCCTCATAAACCTTTTATGAGATTAAATGTTCTTGAGACTAATCCCCATGGACCCAAGAATGTATGGGTACCAAGAGAGAAATCAAGATATTTTGTAGGTGAAATCTCAAAGAACACCAAGGACTTCGAGAGGAAATGCACAACAAAAGTGTTCAATCTAAAGAGCAAAATCAGCTCCTACAAGAAGGAGAATGATGAAATGAAAATTACCAAGATGAACAATAGAAGTAATGCATGGGTGAAGATTCCAAAGAGGTAAATGTAGGTATAACTCCTACCACACCTTTAAGCTTAAAGTTCTATATTCTTTAAGGTGTGATTTGTGTACAATAGGTTATGTCTAATCATTACTTCCATGTAACCTAATTGTACTAAGTTTGCTAAGTCATGTTCTGCTAGTTTCTTTCAAACATTCATTGAACTCAAAAATGAGAATTATATTATTTTGATGAATGCCTATTAGAATATGAATGATTCATGTATTCATTAACATTTTATATCATGTCATCCATTGCTATGAAAAGGAGATAAGAAGTGATAAATATTTTTTGTGAGCATACTTTTCACATCTTATGTATGACTTCATATTAATATGTTAATTTCTTTTTGAGTCATATCTTTGTAGAATCAATTTTGATGTCATAGCATGTTTTTGAGATGTATACTATATATATTTTGAATTGTATATTTATGATATCAAGAATATGCTCAATATTCAAATTTCATACTTATATGCTTTACATTGGAATATTTGAATGAGTTATGAAATTCGTTGATTATGATCCGTCAACAATATCTAAATGAAAAGAAGTATCATACGTTTGTAGAGACATTGCTTCTATCCTATTGAATATCTTTTTAATATGGATCATATTGGCATACATCTCATGAAATGCTTTTGATTGATAAATTGTTGAATTAATTATTTATAGCATTCATGTTGTGTTCCACATTTAGTAAAATATTTTATCACACTTGAGTATGTGGATTAAATTGATGAAAATGCCTCTTGATAATGTTATGTGATTAAATGAGATTGTTGCATCATTTTTTAATAAAATAAAAAGCATAACACTATTTTCTTATGTATATTATGTTATGTGCTACAACTTGAAAATTCTGAAAAATAGCATTCCAAACTCTTGTTTGATCATTGAATTATTTTTCACCTTTTGAGTTTGTGATAAGAAGTGATTTGTGCTGTATTTTTATTGACTAATAGTGATTGTTCTATGAATGCTATATTTACACAAAAATCATATTAGAAAAGGGTAACACCAACTCAGGAGGAGAAATCATTTTGTTAACATACTTGTTAAACCCTTTTGAGATGAACTCATGAAAGAAAATTGAAGATTGAAAAGCTTCTAACTCATGAACCAAAGGTATGCCTCCTACACTCTTTTAAGCTTTTGAGGTAAAAATTCTATTTTATATCCTTTGAGCTAATACTATTATTACTTTGATATGAAAACGATTGATTATGTTTCACATGATTTGCAATGTATACTCTGTGATAATACTCTTACCTAAGAATCATGTTTATGCTTAAATGTATGCTATATATTGAAATTCATGATTTTTCTTGGCATATAGATTGCTATACCTTGAACATGCTTTATTTTTTGGCATTACATTAGCGCCATGAGATTATATTGAGTTTAACCTATTATGAGCAATATTTGGTATTCTACATAATGCTTAAGTTATGATTGTTAAATCTTCTAGATTGCATATTGGTATCCTTGATAGATTGCATGTTGGTATCATTTTGGCAACCTATTTGATATTATTGAGGAAAACATTTCAGTTATGAACTTTCATTTATCATATCTCCTATTGATTTTGTCAAATGAAACAATGGGAAGAATTTAAACTAGATTGTTTTTTTTTAAAAAAAATCCCCTCAGATTCTATTCTATTTTTGATATTAAGCTTAATTTCTTTTATTTTTATTTTTTTTCTCATTATTATTTTTTGTTTGGGCTTAATTTTCGTA